ATTCAGTTAAAAAAAGTCAAAGAAAAAGTTTGTTTTTTTTTTTTTTTTTTTTTTTTTTTTTTTTTTTTTGCCATTGCAAAGCTAGATTTTTTTTTTTTTTTAATTAGCTTTCCTTCACAGCTGACTGACCACTTGTGACAACAGGGGGGGGCCTAACACTTCTGGTGCTTGGTACTGTTGGGGAAAACTCTTAATTTTGTTTTGAGGTTAAATCACAGCTGAGATAGAAATACACCGGTTTATCATGCTTCTCCACTGTACACTTGACAATAATATTATTGTCTCAATGCGTAATGAAAACATATTCAACCAAACATTTTAAGTATTTGTGATCCAACCAAGCACAAAAAGAAGACATTTAACCTGAAACAGTTGCAACAACAACTCTACCTGTAATGTTTTTAGAACAGTTTGATTGTGACGCTATCGTCAAGCATCTTATTTTAGAAAATACCGGATCTAAATACTGAGCCCTTTCTCCCCCCTCACCCCCCGCAGACTCTCTCAAGCCCTGGACGGCGCTCACCTCTCCCTCTCCGTGGTTCCATCAGCTCATGGGGAAGCCGCCGCTCCAGCTGGAACAGTCTAGGGAGGGCGCCGAGCCTCAAAAGGCGAGACACCAGCGGAGAGAGGGAAAGTTTGCTGTCCGGAGAAGGCGGCGAGGAGGAAGAGTGCCAAGATCAACAAGAGGAAGCTGGGGTAAACAGCAGAGTGAAGCCGGAGTCCCTGGAACCGCTGCAGGCGTCTTCTCTCTGCCCTACCATAATAGCAGAGTATGGCGACTGCAATGGGAGGACTGCAACATACGACCCAAACGGAAACTCGGACCCCAAAGACGACTTCACGTCGGAGGACGACTTAGACGAAGATGTAAGTTATCGTGACTCCCCTGCTTATGAAATAATGTATATATTTGGGAATCAGCAGTAAGATTTGAGCAGTTTTGAAAGGTCTTACCTCTGGGCCCAACCCTTCATTTACTTGTTTGCAGTTAAGTGCACATTTCCAAATCTGATTTTTTCTTGTTAAAACAAAAGGAGATTAATGTTGTCTCTCAAGCTGAACACAGACCTAACACCAGTGAAAAGGTTTGACATTGTCAAGTTTTCAGAAAATCAAATTCAACAGTTCCTGATGGTGGAGGGGGGGGGGGGATAGTTTAGGTTTGTCATCCAAAAGATGTAATTAAGTGACTCTTCTGAGTACTAAAGTTTTCTACAGTCACATGTGAGACTGGTGGTGTGACAGCTGGGGCTTGTCTACAATTTGGCCTTTCATCATTGTTCATTTGGGAGTTCCAAACATATGAAGCCTTTTGAAAGTGTGAAATTTGTTCTAGTTTTGTCACGGCATAAGAAAACATTCTTCTTTATTTGTAACAGCTTTTAAAAATAATGAACCGTTTACCTGCATTTCACAGTTATGCACTACTTGTAACTATCGTGTATCTCTAGCACATTTATATTGAGGTGGTTGTTGTATGACAAGTAGGTGCATAAATGTATTTCAAGAGAAAATGTCCTGTAGTCTGGAGTATAAAGGAAGCAATTAGAGAGCTGGAGTGACCCAGTTAAACTCTAAATGAATATTATAGAATGGATCGGGACTTTACGGCGTATTCGCATCAATCTGTAACCCCAAATAATAATAATCCTGAAAGACTGTGGTTAAAAAAAAAAGTAGGAACAAGACTTGCAGGTTTTACAAGTCTATAGATTATACCTAAAAGCCAATATTTCATGAACCTCCCTCTGCGTTTTGTCCTGGTGAGTAGCATCAGTATATAATGCTATAGGCTGTTCTTTTCACAGGAGGCAATTTCCTGAATGTAAGATCTACAGCGGTTCGGATGACTTGTTGTTCTTTCACCACACCCACACTTCTCCACTTTTCTTTTGCCTTCTAACCCTCTTCTCTCGATCTCTTCTGATTCGCTCTGCAGTGTGTGTGTGTGTTTATGACGCAACGTCTACAGGGACGCTAATTGTCATGCTTTAATCGATTGACTTGGGCGATAATTGTTTTCTCACTCGGTTGAAAGCGGTCGAAAACGTTTGTGCAGGTCTGCTGCGTGTTGAGGCTCTGTTTACTCCCTGGGTGGTTTCATGTGACCTGTGTTGTGACATTGCTCAGGGTTTGTTTTTTTTTATTTTATTATTGACTCCAAATTGAGTTCATAATGCTATGAAATCCAGCGAAACAAAAGGCCTCTCCCCCCTGGGTACGCACTGAACTGAATGCAGCTTATTGCAGGCGGCGTATAGATGATGTACGGGTGTGGTTGTGTGTGGATTGTGTTAATCTGTGCATAAGATGCGCTAAGTGAGACGTGAGCAGGATGTTCTAGGCGAGCGTCGGTGTCAGAGACTTCAGTCATTTTTGTTTTTGTTTTTTTTTTAATCTGCACGTTTACTAGAGCACGCACACACACACACACACACACAAACGGAAGACACTCTCAGAGGTACACATGCTCACATAAGTGCCTGTGTACCCAAAAAGCAGAGTCTGGGAGGCTTGACTCTGGGCTGTTTTTAATTAGAATCCTAAAGCACAGAAGCTGTGGACCTAAGCTTTCTTCTGTTTGTTTTACTGCAAACTTTAATGAGTTCTGCTCTGAGGTTCTGCACTTGCTGAGTTGGGAGTCCACCTGTTACGGTCCAATTATCTCCACCTTATTATGCAAGGAGACACATGTTTGTTGTTCCCCTAAAGACGTAAATGTGGACCGGCTAACATCAGCGGCACTCCGCAACAAGCTCAAGACACGAGTTTGTTTCTTAAATGTTTTATTTTTTTTTATGTCGTCTTTGCTGGAGCGACTTTACTTTGTATCACAGGACTCAGAGTTCATAGCAACATTTGGAAAAAAAAAAAAAAAACAGTTTGTTTTTGTGAGCATGCTCTTAACGCAAAGTCCTTATTGAATTGTACGAGTCTGGATTCCTTCATTTCGCAGGTTTAAAAATGTATACCTTCAAATATGTTTTTGATGACGTAGACAACTTAAACACTGTTTAAAAAAAGGAGTAAGAGTAACACATTAATCTGTTTAGGAAATATATGTAGAGCTGACATATTTAGTTGGAAATACTTTTAAATATACTTATAAATGATTAAGCAGCTTTTTCAGTTAAGTTCAGCTCAATTCAAAAATGCCGTAATATTCGTGAAGGCAGAATAAATGTTGCAACCCAAACTGTCCTCATTTCTTCAAAGAGTAGATAATGAAAGCCGGGAGCAGGAGGATTTTCTAGGATTTTCACTGTTGTTGTATAACAGTCTTGTAAAGAGCATGCTCACGGTGGTCCAATATGTCCTTCCTTCTGTACAGTATCCTTCTATGTACAATCTTCTTCGGGGCTTCCAGAGCCCACTTTTTAAATCAGATTGTTAAAAGTCCCTTAGTCTAATGCCGCTACTCCAGCAGCTGACTGCACAAGAGATTTCTCTCTCCACAGCAGACTCACAGTTTCTGTTTCCTTAAGTTTCCTTCAGTACAATCTGCTCTGTCCCTTCTTGAATACGGCTTCACCGTGGCGTCTCCAGTCCAGCTTGTTGTTTGTATTTGTACTCTTTCATCGCCTCTACTTCTCTTCCATAATAAATACTGAATGACTCATTCCTGTTTCTCATGAAATCTACAGTTATCTCATGTGTTTTGTTCACGTACAAGATGAGATTGTTCCCACACTGTGCCACAAAGTGGTCAATTAGCTCTCTGTACTCAGACCATCTTTGATGGATCCCACAGCTGCAGTCATCCGAGGCGGAACCTACCGCCTTATACCGTTTCAGTCTGTCCAGCTTCCTCCTCATCTGACTTACTGGACACTCAGGAGGTTTGAGGAGAGCTTGTTTTGACCTGATCCCGATTCTAAAATCTGTATTTAATGCAGTAGACGTTTTCAAGCTTTCGGAACCATCAATTCACCAAATGTTTATCTTGTAACTCTTACAAGAGAAACAGTTACAAGAAACAGAGCAAATTCTTTATTATGGAGCAGACTTTAAAGCATCACTTGAAGTCCACTTTGCTTCAAGGATGAAAAATGGTGTTGCTTCCTCCACTGCAGCAGCACCTGTGGAAAAAAAACAAACAAACAAAACAAAACCATCAAAAGTCCCAGGGAAACAGAGCTGGAATTACATTTCTGCTAATCTACATTAAAGATTGCCCCTTTAAAAGTCTAACCGATCAAATAAAAGTCGTTGGACAGCACCTAAGAAAAAAGTTCTGCTTGATCTTTGGATTACGTTGGGACTAGATAGTGGGAACGACTCCCTGAATCGTGTTGAGATTGATTGCAGTGGACTGAGGAAAACCAAAGTATTTCAAGGACATTACGCAAAGGTTAGATGAACATTTGGCGCAAACAAGGAGAACTTTTCAGAATACTCAAACCCGGGCCAGTCGATAACTCAAACAAGTCGAAAGTCAAGTTTTTTTTGTTTTTGGACACACCGTTAGTTATGCACAGCGATTCAGTCTCTCGTCTGCGGCGTGTTCAAGTCAGGTCGAAGTGAGGGCTCGACCACATGCGGAGATTTTATTTGAAACTGTTTACATTTTTAGAAAATCCATCCAGAATCCACACATCACCAGAAAACTCATTCAGCTGTATCGCCACAGTTTTAAATCAAAACATCGCAAATGACAGCATAATCTATGTATTTTTCATTTTAGAAATGCAAGACAAATTCACTTAAAACAAATGTTTGATCCGTTTGTGCTGATTTATTGTAACTTCAGACAAAAATGTGATTGGGTAGAAGTCTTCCATGACGAGACGCAGAACGCCTCCTGATTGTCTGTTTGTAATTTCAGATTCCTTTCACTTCAAGTTGTGTTGACAAAACAATCGGGCTGTCACGCAATACTCTAAAATGGAGATTAATCAATAAAAGCCTTTGTTGGAGCTCAATCACCGTGCTGCTAAAGGAGCTCGTTTAATAAGCAGTTTGCTTGCTGCCTTCTGAATTAGATGAAAACATTTAACAGTGGGCAGTAAACAGAACGAATGTGGTAGTAGTAAAAATTTTACAGTTTGCCATTATGACGCGAACTGCAGTTTAATAGAGATTGTAGCTGTGGTTTACAGTATGCAAGAGTCAATAACAAAGATGCTGGTGGCTTGCTGACAATTACATTTATATATATATATTTGTGTGTGTGTGTGTGTGTGTGTGTGTGTGTGTGTGTGTGTGTGTGTGTGTGTGTCCTCTCATTGCTGCAGAGTCCTTTCTGCTACTGGGTCAGGAGGGAGCTCCACAACATGAAGCCCCGCTGGTGTAAGGAGCACGAGAGCTGGACGCTTTATTTGTTTGCACCGGAGAGCCCGTAAGACCTACACACTGCATGATTTTCAAGTTACATTTGATTAATTTTTCAAGCTCTACCTTATTTCCAAGCATCAATAATTGAAATATAATTGTGTAATTCATGGAGGCATGTTCCAGTTTTGTGATCTAATGGAATGATAATGTTGATGGGGTTTGATTGTAGCTTACAGTTCATATGTACATGATTTACTTATTTCCACGTAATAATAATTATTTGTTGCACTAAAATCATGTATTGCGTTGTGCTAAGCATTTCTCCATACTGGTTATTCTGACCTTGGTAACACTTTTTTTGAGGGGGTGTGCATAAGACTGACATGATACTGTCAAAAACATGACATAACACCTGTCATAAACATAAAGAAGTCTTTATGAATGTTTGACAGTTGTCATGAAATGTCATTTGGTAAATAAATGACACTTTTAATGCAAAGTTGCTCTAAAAGTTGCATTGAAAGTCCATTGAAAATGCCAACTTTGCATTAAATTATCATAATTTACAAAATCATGCAAAGTTGGCATTTTTAATGGACTTTCAATGCAACTTTTAGAGCAACTTTGCATTAAAAGTGTCATTATTTACCGAATGACATTTCATAACACCTGTCATGAACATAAAGACTTCTTTATGTTCATGACAGGTGTTATGTCATGTTTATGACAGAGTCATGTCAGTCACCTTCCTGTTATCTGCTAAAAATCTGTTATAGGCTTGAAAGAGACAAACCAGTCTCAGCTTGACACTTTTTTTCTTCAATTTTTGTGCTTCTCTTAACTCAATAGTAAACTCCTGACACAGGAACTTGTTAACAATAAATACCTGAAAAGCTGAGCTTTTAGTGAAATGATTAGAGAAAACATTTCATTTTTCAGCTTCAGAGCAACTGATTATTTTTCAAGGTCGATCCAGACGATCGTCTGTTTCCAGTCACTGGCCAATGTCTCTGTTAATTTTGATAATCTGTATTTTTCTCAGATAGTTGTTGGCTTTGTCGTTTCCATTTCTAATTTTTGTTCAGCTTAGGTGAAGTTTCCTGTTGTCATTCTTCTAAACGTTTGGTTCATAGCTCAGAGCCGCAGCAGGTATTTTTATATATCGCTCTCTGTGTCTGTTTAGAGTCCGTGTGTGGTGCCAAGCTGTGATCACTCACAAATTGTTCGACCATGTGGTTCTGGTTTTCATCTTCCTCAACTGCATCACTATCGCTCTGGAGAGGCCTGATATACTGCCTCACAGCACGGTGAGTCACGGACAAACATGGCTTACATAATCACTTTTGTCCTCACACAGTCCACTTGTCTTTCTCAGACCAGAAATTTCACACACTTTTCTATTAGCCTCACTTTTGTCATACTTAAAGACATTCAAGTTGAGATATAAAACGAAAAAAGAAGTTGTTTTGATTTCAAATTTAGGTTTTATTTTACCACCTGACAAATAAATCTGTGAGCAGGGGTGAAGTTACTCAGGTAAAACTTTTTTTTTTTTTTCAGGTCCATCTTTTTATGTCACTATCAAAAAAAAAAAATGCAAAAGTTAAGTTGCGTATATCCTTTATATACAAATCAAGGTGCCACAGTAGATGTTATTTCTAAGAAAAAAAAACAGATTACATAAAAAAGGCATGGCACGTATCAGTAGAGAACTTCTTATAATCTTTTTCATAAAACCCTTGAATTAGCAGTTTTAGCTAATTTGTTACATTTCATACCCTCTGAAAGAGAGAAAGTGTCTGCCTCTGAAAATTGAAGCCTTAGTCTTATAAACATCGCACGTCTTCTAAATGTGCAATCTTTTTTTTTTACAAGCTGACACATATAAAGGGAACTTCTGCTGCTTTTAGAGCAGAATGTGTCATCATTACAAGCATCTTGTTTTGGTTAATGGGATTAACTTAGCTATACTTTGTTTAAGCATTGTCTTACTTTTTTTGTTGTTTTTTTTTTTTTTTTCTATTTAGGAGCGAGTATTTCTGAGTGTGTCCAACTATATTTTCACTGTGATCTTCCTAGCAGAGATGGCCATCAAGGTAAACAACAGCATCTTCACTTATATTTGCTTGATATTTTTTAATATCAAGCAAATATGGGGGGTGGGGAACCCAGAGGGCTTAAATTGTGCTGCAGTAACTTCCTGCTGCTTTAACTGTTCCCTCAGGTCGTCGCTCTTGGTTTCTGCTTTGGGAATCAAACCTACCTTCAGTCCAGTTGGAACGTTTTGGATGGAGTGTTGGTCTTTGTGTCTCTGGTGGACATTCTTGTTTCTCTGGCCTACACCGGCACCAACAGGATCCTGGGGATTCTCAGAGTCCTTCGTCTTCTACGCACCCTTCGCCCTCTGAGGTACGCAGCGTGTGTATTTGTGCGTAGAATGTGAAAAGCGTTCAAGATCTTGTTGAAATTCCAACCTTTCTGAGGTCCAAAAGATGCATAAATAATACGACTGGCCCCATGAACTATTAGTCTGACTCACATTCTTTAGTCACAAATTTGCAGAGAATTAGCAATGGATGCCATTGTATAAACATATTAGTCAGGCAAAGTGTACAAAGAAAATACAGTGTGTTTAATATGCACCATGGTAAAGTGGGACAGAAGTACAGTGACATTCCAAAAATCAGACTTTCCTTTGAAACTGATCAAAGATCCAAAACAAAAATGGGTTGCAGTAGCTTCTAAGAGAACAAAACATTTGTCCCGTATCTGTTTGTAGCACTGAAGTTGTCATATTTCAGGATAGTAGTAGTTACTTTTGAAGAAATCCTCCAAGATGTCCAAAAACTGTATTTGGCTCACCAAAACAACACTGCATCTCAAAGGGAGTGAGATGGTAAAATACAGTGTCAAAATTGACAGTTTTTGGTGTCTGATACAAAGCCAGAGTTGCACAGAATTTTTTTTTTTGTTTTTGTTTTTGTTTTTGTTTTTTTTTGTAGCACCAGAGTAGCTCAATCGTAAAATGAATATAATATGCGTCTTCATTGAAAGAAAACTAAACCTGGCAGAACGTCTGTATGCTCACGTGAAGAGGGTTGTGCAAAAGTGATTTCCATCCTCACAATCTGGCAGATTTGAGGAACTTTCACAGGGCAGTGTGTGCTGAAAAGACTTTAACTTCTATCCTTAGGGTCTACACACCACCAGGTCATTGCATCGTTTTAATTCTATTTCTATCACTTCAATATTAATTTAAATGAACTGCTGTTAAGCCTACTTAACTTGTCCATATCTGAGTGCATGACTGTGTGTTCCAGGGTGATCAGTCGCGCCCCAGGACTGAAGCTGGTCGTGGAGACACTCATCACCTCTCTAAGACCTATTGGGAACATTGTATTGATCTGCTGCGCCTTCTTCATTGTGTTTGGAATCTTGGGGGTCCAGGTGATTACTGTCCCACTACTCAGACGCACAAGCTCGCACTACATCAATTACCTCACATAGGATGCATCTCTTTCTGCGCCTCTCTCGTGAGCTGTTTTACATATTGTTGTGCAAATGCTCAGCAGTGCGCGTGTGACCGTAGCGATGGGCAATTGAAAAGCATCTAAAATATCCAAAAAGAAGATATTGGTGTTTTTCTTCTTCGAAGGTGTGAGTTTGGAAGAAAATGCACAACTATAGTAAGTGTTGGGGAAAACAAAACACGACCAATGTGTTTCACAAGCACTTTGAAACATCATGTTATTGCTGCCATTATTTGCTGAACACAACTGAGGTCACAGCTTAATGAAAGTCAAATAGCCCTGAAGATAACTTTTTTTTTTTTGCCTGTTTTTTTATTTTTTTTTTTATTTTTTATTTTTTCTATTTTTTTTCTAGCTGTTCAAAGGGAAGTTTTACCACTGTGAAGGTCTGGATACAAAAAACGTCACAAACAAGTCAGACTGTGAACTCGCCAACTACAAGTGGATACGAAGGAAGTACAATTTCGACAACTTGATTCAGGTGTGCATGAATCAAACGAATCTGTGATTATATGAAGTTTGCACAATATTAAAAGCCACATCTTTTTATTTTATTTTTTTTAAACTGTACACTATTTCTAACAGAGTTTTTTTCTTCTTCTATAAATGTCTATTGTTGTACAACACTATATGGCTTCTCAATTCCTTTTGATATAAAAGCCACATTAAAGCACACCATCAAAATGAAGGTAATAGTACAACCACCTTTCTGTCTCCAGGCTTTGATGTCTTTGTTTGTGCTGTCGTGTAAGGATGGTTGGGTCAACATCATGTATGATGGACTAGATGCAGTCGGGGTGAATCAGCAGGCAAGTATTTGCATTGTATCCGCAGGACTGAATGACCTGCTTCAGCCTCACTTGAGTCACAGTCATCTGACGAGAAATAAGCAAATTTTTTGTAATACCCAGGCACTAGAGTGTAGCATTTATCCCAATGGGAAATGATCTGTTGTTGGTGAGCGCTAATCCAACTCATTTTCTTTTGCCACTCCTCTTCAAATCACCGTCTGGATGTATGTTTAGGAAGTCGTTAGAATTATTTGCAAATATCTTTTCAGCTTTTTTTTTTTTTTTCAAAAAAATTGAATTTAAGAGTTTGTATTTCTCCCTGTCTTCAGCCTGTGAGAAACCACAACCCCTGGATGCTGCTCTACTTCATCTCCTTCCTGCTCATCGTCAGCTTCTTCGTCCTCAACATGTTCGTCGGTGTCGTGGTGGAAAACTTCCACAAGTGCCGGCAGGACCAGGAGGAGGAGGAGGCCCGTTTACGGGAGGAGAAGAGGCTCAAAATGATAGATAAAAAGCGCAGGAGTAAGGAGAATGGAGGGGCTGGTCGGTAGTCTATTTTTCTGAGCACTGCCTGCTTTCAGAGCTTGAAAGAAAAAAAAAAAAATATATATATAAAAAAAGATAAAAATAGGGCAATGATTAGCAAAAACAACAGCTGGAATGAGGGAGAGCTTATAAGACTGGCTAGCTCACACTAAATGTGATTGATCACTGCAGCAGGCTGTGGGCTATGCCAATCTGACGCATGTAACTGCATGACTGCAGCCAATCCTGTCCCTTCCTAATCCTGCATGCCAAACCTAAGACAGTGAGTCAAAATTATCACCGTTAGCAAAATACGAAATTTCAAACTTTCACTCAAATTTCACTTAATTCGTATGACCAGTTATGCTTGATAAGCTTTAGTGACACTTGCACAAATTGGATTAATAATAATAATAATAATAATAATAATAATAATTTTAGCCTAATTTGATTTGCAATTTTCGCATGCATCCCGGAAAATTTTTATCCGGTAAAAATTTTCGTCTGTGAATTTCCTACATCCCTTCCTTCCCTCCCTCCCAATGCATGTGTAAGACCCTGAGATGCCTCTTGACTCTGGTAGAAAAGAGATATTTTCTCCAAACGGGCTTTGACTGGCAGACTCAGAAACATAGCAGACATTTTGGCTGCTAATCCTGTTAATCATTTGGGTAATATCTTGGGTAATGGAGCTGTTGGTAAAATTTTTGTTCCAGCCTTTATGGGATAGAAACTAGTTAAGACATCAGCACAAATCTGCACCCAAAATACTATAACAACCAATCTTTGTGTGCATAGTAAGGTTTTAAGTCGAGATGAGTGGGG